ACACAGGAACAGGAAACAAAGAGGTGGGACTAAACAGGGTATAAAAAGCCTAGCAAGCCCCTTCCTCAGCCCTTCTCTCTTCTCCCCAACATTGAAATATGCGATCACCTTTTCTGTTCAGGGCTCAAGCCGTGCGGCCCTGTCCAACAATAAACCATCTTTCCAAGCAGCCTCCATGTCTACAGTGTCTTCTCCCCCACTTGGAGCTGAACCCAGAAGGACATTTCTTTCAACAAAGCCATGACACAATATTTTACAAGCCGGTGATTGATATATGCCAAATAGAACTTCAGGGTATTATGGCTCAGTTTCAACCATATCAATTTTACTTTTGCATAAGTCTCTTTGAATGTTAAAAAATAACAGCGCCTCCTAAAACTTGTGCCACTGATCTGAAGCTACATTCACTCCTTTGGCTTATCTTCCCAGTATATTATCTCTCACAGCTTTACAAATGCGTCGGCCGGAGCCAAAGCAAACATTCTGTCCCGAAACCTTTAAAAAAACAAATATTTGAGAAGGAGAAACGCAGCGACCCAGGGACACCTCAAGAAAGGGAGATCCCGCCCCTCTCCGAGTCAGCGATTGGCGCGTTCCGACTTTCGGATTCAAGCGCCAATGGCTGGGATAAGTCAAGCCAGCTGTCAATCGCACAGGTGTCTCTCTCGGGCAGGTCGCGGCTGGGCGCACTGACTACCGGTTTTAGTTCGCCCTATCCCGGTTCGCAAGAAAGAGCGAGCGAACTCCGGTCGTCCCGTCGAGTTCCTTATTCGCTTGTCGGATCCGAGGCTGCGCTTTCCAGGCAGGGCGCGGCGGGCGATGCTGGTAACGCAGAGCGAGAGGCAAAGGTGAACAGCCCGGCCGACCTCCAGAGCGCCAAATCCAGAATGAGTCGGTCATCCCGCGGCATAGATCTGAGTTTCTTAAATGGCGAGGAAGCCCGGCAGATCCTCAAGGTGTTGGAGCGGGACTCGCAACTCAAAAAAGCCGAAAAAGAAAGGCTGAGGTAGGAGATCCGCTCTTGCAATTCTGCACCAAACTAAATTCTTTGCAAACCTGTTGCGTTTCCCGAAATGTGGAAAGCTTCATCCTACCCATCTGGAGGGCAACACATTTACTTACTTACTTACTTACTTACTTACTTACTTACTTACTTACTTACTTACTTACTTACTTACTTACTTACTTACTTACTTACTTACTCAGTTAGTTAGTTAGTTAGTTAGTTAGTTAGTTAGTTAGTCAACCTTGTACAAGATAGTACGAACAGGTATAAGCATAAACATGGACATGAACACTGGAAATAGGTACCAGTAAATGGGGACAATAGGACAGGAACGGTAGGCACACTGGTGCGCTTATGCACACCCCCTTACAGACCTCTTAGTAAAGGGGTGAGGTCCAAGCTAGACAGTTTAAGGTTAAAGTTATGGGGGTTTGAGGATGTAACAACAGAGTCGGGTAGTGCATTCCAAGCATTGACCACTCTGTTGTCAGTTTGGAATTTGTTGTCAATTTCATTTGGAAGGAGACGTCCTTCCCGAGAGGCATTGGGCAAGAGATGCTGTCTAAATCTTCATGCTCCTTTTAGGATACGGGGTAACGGCTGTTTGGATCTCACCCTGGTCCTTCCTGAGCATTGGAACATTAGTTCATCTGTTTTTTAAATATATATATATTCCTGAGCCCCAGGTGCTTTTTCGCAGCTGTAGGTTGCTTCATTCTGACTTGGGCGTAGATTTAGTTCCCGGATTTCTCAGGTGGCACACATTTCCTTTACAAGAAAGACAAAATTAGAAAAGACTTAGAAAAGAAACCGGTTGGTCTTGAGGCAATCCAGGCAGATTTCAGCTGCTGGGCAAATTGGTAGTATTGCTGGGAGTAAAAAATAGAGCGGCAGAGAAGTGAGGACAGGAGCAGGTACTCTGATGGACGTATTCTGAGATGCTCGTTTTTCTACAGTAGTCCCAAAAGTTGAATTCAAATTATTTCCAGTCCACAACTCTTGTAGATTCCTGGTTGATTCGTATGAAGTTATATCTGTTTTTCTTAGACTTTTTAAAATGTTTGGACTGGTTTTTTTTTCCTCTTCAGCACACAGGATAAAGGGAAGGGAAGGCACTGACTACATCCTGGTTCATCTGCAAAGGTTTTTTTTTGGGGGGGGGGGTACATCTTGGATATTTCAACAGAGCGCTTCGATAAATTTATCTGAAGTAAACCCAGCTGAATATATTTGGATTAAAAACAATAGGATGGTGTATTAAATGGCCTTTTACTACTAGTTTATAATAGACGACTAGCCTTCAAACATTGAAAATAAGTATTTCCATTTTCCTTTGTGACAGCGCCTTAAGCTTTGTTCCCAAGGAAAGGTCTATTCTGATGCTCCCTTCACTGGAGAAATTGAAAACATCACTGCCTCCCAGCAATTCATCTCATTATGAGCCAGCTGCATGCATTACAAAACATCCTACCTATTAGCATCAAAAGTCAAATTTGGGTCAGCTGAATGGAATCATAAAACTGTTTTACTGAAATTGTATCATAGAAATCCTCATAAATAAGGTTTTCCATATAATTCTCACTTTGATCAGGAGACTCAGCTGTGATAGCGCCGTATGAAAACGAGTCTTGTCAATTTCAGTTTATTTCAGGATATGAAATAAGTATCTGATTAAAATCACAGGCTTCCTGTGTCCAACTCCTTGAGAATTAGTTTCATTGTTTGTAGTGGATTTTTTTTCAAACTAAACCTATAAGGCAGGGCTGTCAAACTTCCAGCCTGTGGACCAGATGCATCACGCGCTGGCCACGTCCATGCTCGGTTTAGCGAAGGGGGGGGAAGTCCCAATATGTCATGTGACGACGCCATGACGACGCGAGTCTGACACCCCTCCTCTAAGGAAACTCCCAACACATGTTTGAGCTTCTTCCGCTACAATACGCTCATTTGTTTTTGGCTATTAGCATTTGTAGTATACACTATACAGAGAAATTGAGTACAGATAGTCCTCGGCTTACAACGGTTCATTTAATGACTGTTCAAAGTTACAATGACACTGAAAAAAAGTGACTTATGACCTTTTTGCACACTTACGATCACTGCAGCATCTCTCATGTGAACAAAATTCAGATGCTTGGCAACTGATTCATATTTATTACAATTGCCGTGTCCCAGGGTCATGTGATCACTATTTGCGACCTGAAAGCAAAGTCAACGGGAAAGCCAGATTCGCTTCACAATCGTGTCACTAACTTAACAACCGCCGTGATTCACTTAACAACTGCAGCAAGAAACGTTGTAAAATTGGGCAAAACTCTCTTAACAAATGTCTCCCTTAGCAACAGAAAGTTTGGGGTCAATTGTGGTCGTAAGTCGAGGACTACATATATACTTGCAAGTTGAAAGATTTGATCCTGAGTTTTGTGACGCTAATTTTCAAAATGTTTCCTTTGTCTCTGGTACCTGTTCATTTGCATGTTAAAGACATCATATCTTCACTTGAAGGGTGCATAAGGTTAATTTTCTATACCATATAGAGTCTGGATGAAACAATTTATAAATGTTATGAATAAATATATAAATAAACTTAGTATTGGCTCCTAACAAGACAAGGTGAAGCTGTTGACTGAACATAGACTGCTTTGTTTCTGGACTTCGTTTTGTTTTTAAAATTCCTCCCAAGCGCTCTAATTCTTTCTTTAGGGGACTTTGCTCTATAGCTTGCCTATTTAAATTCCAAAGAGTTCAGTTGGGTTATTAGCTAATGGAATGGGATTATTTAGTTACATACCCTCGTTTCCTAAATCTCATGTACAGAATATTATGAGTTAGCCCAACTTAAACATTAGATATTTACATTAAATATTTTGTTTTTATACTATGTTGACTCTTCATAGTCTTTCTCATAGAATGTGCTATGTCCACATAGTTTTTCTGAGTGCTGTGGAAGTATTGTTCTTCCCTTTCCAATGTAGCATCTTGCAAATATGTTAAAGCTGCATCTCTGAGAATTCAACTATGCTGCTTGAAATTTAGGGAATTGTCATCCCAATATATTTGGCTGGCTGGGATATTCTGGGAGTTGAAGTCCACAGGTCACAGGAGTGTTCTTGGAGCCAACATTGGACATCCACTAGAGAACATAAATACTAATGGCACTCATCATGGATAATATTGATTTTACATATTCATTTTTGATAATACTCCTTGTAAATATCTACCCTAGGGAGTTCACTAAAGGGTCTTACATAGCATTGACCCCATGTGGGCTTCTTAGGAGGAGAAAAGTGTTCCAAGCTTTTTGTGAAGGAGGGGCAGGCATGATTTTATAAATTCACTTTGCAGGTATTAATATTGCTATTAATTCCCTCTTCCTTTTTCTGCATTCCAAGATATCTACATGGAAATTTAGGTAAAGGGGATTTAGACCGATCAGCCAATCTTGACAATTTTACCTTTCTTTATTAAAAAGTAATTTTTTTTTAATTTTAAAAATGCTGCTTACAGATTTGATGAGAAATGAATACACACACACACACACACACACACACACACACAAACACATATATATGGTTCGAATCCCAGTAAGGGTATGGCTAGCTGATGAGAGNTAACAAAGAGTTCCCCTTCAACTCCAGGGTGATGGGATTAAGGCATGATAGTCTTAGCCCCTTACCCAACTCACCACATGGCATCTGGGAATTCAACCAAAGTTGGACTCAAAACACAGTCTAGACTCTAGAGAGTTGCCTCTGCATGGCCCTATGGGAGTCTGGTAACCAATCAGAATACATTTCCTACACAGGAACAGGAAACAGAGAGGTGGGGCTGAACAGAGTATAAAAAGCCCAGCAAGCCCCTTTTCCCTCTTTTTCTTCTTCACCCAACATCTGGAAGCATGTGATTCACCTTTTCTGTGCAGGACCTCAAACCATGTCTATCATTAAACCATCTTTCCAAGCAGCCTCCATGTTTCCAGTGTCTTCTTCCCCACTTGGAACTGAACCCAGAAAGACATTTCTTCCAACAGTCTGTCATGCAAAGAGACATACAAATGCCTCAAAAAGACTGCATTAATAAATTCAAAAATAAAAGATTCTGTAAGCCACACATTTTTACATGAAAAACACATACACTGAAGAAAATCTGTGTGAATCCTTTTTTTTCTGCTTCATTATAAACCATTCAGAAGCTACAATTGATCCAAAAACATAATGACTAGATTGCTAGCAAGAGAAGACCACTTTTGATGCATAATGCTGTTACTGCCATTGTTCCCCTGGGTATCAATACATTTGAGACCAATTGAAAGTGTGAATTTATATGACATAGCTTTGGATTACTTTTAAGAAACATCTCCGCCAAATGGATTCTGACAATTCTGTGCCCTCCTCCCTGATAGAAACGTTTATAGTCCAAGCTTCTTGACATGAGAAAGACATAAACCCAAATGGAGTCCTTCTCCATTGTGGCCCCATAGTCAGAAAAATAATCCTCTGACTGTCTGTAAAATGAGGATTATTTTGTTTAGATGGGACGTTGCTTGCCAGCTTCAAACAATTTATTCTAATTTAGTCCTGCAGTATTATAGATCAGTTTTGTATGCATTTTTATACATACAGCAATTTAAATAAAGTGAGGGGAAAAGTAATCTAGTTCTATACATATAATATTAGATGATCGTGGCATTGCAAAGATCAAACAATAATTAAACACCTTTGATCTACCCAAAAGGCAAATGATTCAGAGAACATTGTTTGTTTTATGCATATCTTTATTTTCCACTGACAGAACACAAAATAATATGCATGGTTATTCCCATACCTATCCCACATTTCTTCTCATGACAGCCCTGCTCTAACTGGCCCAGTTAGCTGCCATTTTTAAATCAGAAATGATGAAGAAAATTATCCTAACCCTCCAGTGGTGGGTTTCAAAATTTTTTAGAACCTCTTCTGTAGGTGTGGCCTGCTTTGTGGGAGTGACTTGCCAGCCATGTG